AGGACGTGTTTTCATAGGCTCGTAACTCGGCGAATTTCACAGACTGGAGCCTGATTCATGCACCATTCGGTAGCGCAGTTCCTAGTAACTTTGACTGAGAAAAGCAAGCAGGCAAGGTTGCTGTTAGATACGCGAGAAGTGCGGGCCAATTTACGCACTTTCGTGATGCAGTTACAGTCACCTCACCGTATCTCACCAAAAAGACCCTGTAATCCTCAAAGACCACGATTTTCGTAAAGAGCGTGTTCGAAAACCTCTATAAGCGAAGTTTCCTTACAATTTAAGAGCATGAACATTTTGACCAAAATCCATCGGCCAGCTTCAGAGCGTGAAACGAGAAAAAATGAAATTACTTGAATATCTTGGAAAACTTGCACTTAAGGGTTATCCGATCTGCTGGTTACGAAAATCACATCTGCTTAGCAAGAGAGCTTCATATTTTAGAGTTACGTTGAGAAAAATTTAGAAGGACATGATTTTTCCAGAATTCACCAGCCCTTCTAACTCCTTTGAAAAGGAGTGTGCGGCTACTTTCTAGCGCTCCATAATCTACAAAAGAAGTACTATCGAAAATTTCTTTCTGAATGTACTGGGGGCAATACGCGCTGCTTCACACCTTTGCGAAGAGACGTCCGCAGAAAGTTTTGAGAATACTGAATTCGAGATATCAAGGACATTCTGCATACCGAAAGATTTGCCTTGATGAGCTGAGCACAATGCATTTTTCGGATTCAGAAAATATCCACTCCAAAGAAAGTTACGGCGAGTAGAATCTGGAAACGAGTGATTTTTCCAGAATTTACCAACGCTTTTTTCTCTTTTGAAAAGAAGTCTGCGGCAGCTTACTAGCGCACTATAATGCACAAGAAGAGCACTATCGAATGGTGCTTACTGGAAGCTTTCAAGTTGGATAGGCGCTGCGTTACATACTTGCAAAGGGACCTCCTCAGAACAATTTGAGAAAACTGAAAACAAGATATAGATGACACGACGTATGTAGAAAGATTCGCCTTGACGAGCTGAACACAACGCTGCTTTCGAATTTAGAATATATTAATTCCGAAGGAAGTTATGGCGCTGCATAATTTGCGATAATCCGGAATCGCGAAATTTCTGGAATTTCGCGCAATTCCCGTTCTGTGAGTGGTATTGTACATTGCACAGCACGCGCGGCATTCCGCGATATGTGCTTATCATGCGATTTCCAACCATTTCCCTTTGTCCTCCTGCATTTTGGGACCCGTCATACTTCGCCGAGAAAAGCCCACTTTCACACATATCCATGCAGAATGAGCTGCCCAGTTTCACATATATCCATGCAGAATGAGCTCTTAAACTATACCTGCCCTATTTCTGCTGTGCTCAATAGAATGTGTACGTAGCCTCTGGAATCAGCACACTGAATGGTCCATTTACACTAAAATTCCAGGAAAGAAACTTATATCCCACAACTAGGCACATCCGTATATTGGAAGATGCGCCTCGCCGAGCTGAGTTGAATGGTACTCTTATATATAGAATTCATAAATTTTGAAGCAAGATAAGGTCTTTTTTTATAAAAAGTTAGGCGTTGCGCGACAAAGTTAGGTGACTTTGGCCGCTTTTCCGCCGACTTTTGCCGCGCGACGCGGCAAAAGTCACCTAACTTCGGCGGCGCCGCGTAAGTTAAGTGCCGCCGCCATTTTTTTTCACAAATTACGGGTGGTATTGTAGTTGTCGAGTTATGGAGGAAATTGTGCAATCACGGCATATCAAGCCGTCTATAGAAGAGAACAAATCGTCATTTACAACTCGGCACATGCAGCAAACTTTCGGGTCTCCCTAAAGCATTGCCCTTGGATAAATGTTAGATTTCAAGATATACTTACAGCTTGGTGTATAAACTCGAATGACGAGATTTCAGGGTTTTGATGAGTGTATAACTGGCTAAGATGATCCAACTGCTCTTGTTCCATAAATAAGGTAGCCTAAAATATGTGAAGCTTTCAAAATATTGAAGTAAAAGTGACAATAACGGAGTTTGGGGATTCTCACATTGGGAGCTATCACTGTACTATTAACATTGTAATCGAAAGATTCGGGACATATAGCAAATCGACGGCCATCATCATTGATCTCACAGTCCCTATAAATTTTCTTTTGTAGACCAGTGATGAACGGTGAAAAACTCAACTTACATCTTTTTTGTGCGCAAAATGAATTTGTATAAGTCATCAAATAGCGTCTCATGATCTCTGTAGATCCTATCTTGAACAATAGTCAAAAGATTTTCTTTATTCGCTTCCTGACAGTACTGCGAATTGGTGTTGATTCGGACCCTAGTGCAGGTTTAAGGAATAGTTTCACTCATCCCAATATATAAAAATTCTTACGGATTATATTCTGACTAGATACCTGAAGGTTGTATTGTTCTCTTCGTGTTCGAAAAAAATGACGAAAGACGGCTTCGCATAGGATGGACTACTGATAGATACCCGATTCGAACCGAACCATCGCACAACGAATGCAGGCGGTACCGAAGGTAAAAACTAAATCATGTATACTGTAATTTTCGGCCTAATAACTATCTGAAAAGATACTTTCGTACTTGTTTCCTTAGGTCAATAATGTCCAATTTCTTGATTTTGATTTCAATTACTTCAAGGATATGAGGAGCTTCGATAGCAGTAGTAACATCCAACAGACTTGGCCTTTTGAAAAAATCCTAAAGCTGCAGACTTGATGCAGAGGCTAAAAATCTTCCCTTAGTTTTTTCATTCCAAATTGCCACTCTTCGTCTCCTCTCTCTCATCTTTACCAACTGGAAAGAAACCTTAATCGTGTAGGAGCGCGTACTTTCAAAAAAGTTCCTTGCGCTACAAATCATCAACTTCATAATAAAGAAAGGAGAAATGGGAATCAGAAGACATACGATGAGAATGAATCTGTACAGAGCTCGGCATTAGATGGCGTACTCGATCGTCATATCTTAGTTTTTGATAGCATAAACATGAATTACATAACTAGTGCGAGGTTGGGATAATACGATGGATGATGAATATTTGCAAATTGATTTCTAAAAGTATGGGTGCTCAACAGGCTATGTTTTACCTTTTTCCAAAGTAAGGTCTGCTAAGGAGGAAAACATAACGAAATATGAAGAAAATCTGAAAAAACTTTTGATCTAACATTAACAGAGATATATAAACGTCCTACATCTTATTTGTAGCTTACGATCTCATCTTTCCAGCGGCATATTAAACGCATTTTATCGTGAACGATACTAAATTTTTTTCAGGATTATGTTTACAGAGTTTTTTTTGGAAACCGGTCGATTGTTTTCTGAATCAATTCTTGCGGAATTCCGTTCCAAGCTCATAATATAAACGATTTCAGATAAAGTTTTGTTGAGCAAAAGTATCACATGCCGATTTTTTAAACAATAACAGGTTACTGATACTTTTGATATAACAAAAAACTCTTAGTCAAAGTTTGTCAACATAATTTTGGGAGCAGGGTATTCATTGCCTAACACAGTGATGTAATGATTTATCATTTTTCGAGCGACAAAAGATGTTACTATTTTATCTGAAAAAACGATACAGCATTGGTATATACCCGTTGATTCAACTGGCTTGGCGGATGAAAGGTGGGGCTTCGTGGTCTAATTAAGGCTAGATAATGATCAGACAAAACGCGCGCGAGAGACGCAGAGTGCGTCGCGGGCGCCGGCCTTAGCTAGGTCACAAATCCTCGCCTTCCAGCCGCCAAGCCAGTTGAATCAAAGGTTATTCTCAATGGCGGTGAATCAATACGAGAGTGTACCTCAGTATCGAAGCTTTTCTTAAGTACTTGTGAAGTTAACGGTAGGTTAGGACATTGCTGGCTGAGACGATGCTCAGGTTCGGACTTCCGCTCTTTCCATGCAAGATGAAGAGGACTTCTAAAAAAACAAGCGATTTCCAGATAATTCAAAAAAAAGAATATCATACTGTGATTTCCCGTTTTTCTCCAATTTGCCAGTCTCTATCGCATCTCCAGCACAGTCCCAAACATATTTCTCAAGCACAACTCTTCGTCTATTAGCTGCATGGAATCAAATCATCTTGCTTAATGTAAATATGGGGTTGGTGCCAAAGTTCGCATATTTTAAAAAACCAGAACTTCTTTGCGTAAAATACGTGGAAGTAATTTTGTTGGAAAACAGAGATCATGCGCTTAACAGCAATATCTTGATGTGTATCAGTACTTTTGAAAAAAGCTAGACTCAAAACCAAATCAAGAAAACTACCCAAAATGCCATTTCTTGAACAGGGTCAGGAAAATTGGAAGCGTCCTTGTTTAGAAGCCGAAATCATTCGCATTACTGTCAAAACTTTGCCGTAAGTAGTATGAGAAAGTGCAAGATTTAGAAACAAATGAAGAAAACCATGCAAAATTGCATTATTCGAGCAAAATCATTGAAGATACTAGGTGACTCTTATGTCATTGATAGGCTTGAATTGTAATCTACAAAATTGGATTTTTTGGCATCAAAAACTGCCAATTTTGACCAATTCCCCTCATTTTTTTTCTAGTTCTCCCGTTTTTTCATACTATACAGGGTGTCCCAAAAAAATGTGCCTACTGTTTGATTGTAAATAACTCTCTTGCAATGCAGCGTTTCGAGACGCTTTAGGTATTATTTTGTAGAGCGAGGTTGAACTTAGATTTACAGTATGGAGCGAATCATCTATCGCACTTCATTACTGTAGGATTACGGTACGAACTTCCAGCATATGGAAAAATTGTGGAATGTACCGCCTAACAAATTTTTTTTTCAAAAAATCTGAAAAATTGTGTACTAGGGTTTTCGCGCATGCTTATTCCACCTAACAACTTTTTACGAGTGTTTTCAGCTTTTTTGACGGTGTAATCACATTTCTGACAAGTAGTGGGAATTTAATTATTACGGTTTACCCGGGATAACTTTGGAAAGAAGCATCACAATAATGTGGAAATCTCAAATTCGAAATCAGCGGCTCTCATTACTGTAGTATATGAGTTTTTGACTTGTTTGGTTTTGTTCCGAGGCAAAATATAGCCTCCAATGGCCCAAAATCCTTGTCGAAGTTCGTACCGTAATCCTACAGTAATGAAGGGCGATAGATGATTAGCTCTATACTGTAAATCTAAGTTCAACCTCGCTCTACAAAATGGTACCTGAAGCTTCTCGAAACACTTCATTATAAGAGAGTTATTTACAACCAAACAGTAGGCACATTTTTTTGGGACACCCTGTATATAAGAAAGATACTTCTGGAAAGCACATGATGTTTTCTTTCAAACTAAAATGTTATAAACAATTCCATCGAGGTGCGAGAAGTTGCAAACATTTTTGGATCAAACCATTCACCTCGTTTTGATTTCTTCTTGCGAGGTTTCGCGGGGTTATCCTTGCTAAAATTTATGTGAATCCTCGGCGGCTCAGTGGTTTCCTTGTCTAGATGCCGTAATTGTCGCATTCGGTTATTGAAATATTTAAGCTAAACACACGCTTCAGAAAAGCCAGAATCAATTTGTGTCAAAACTAACGTGTTTACTTCTTTCAGTGGAGGAAAGTTTTTTTACCTTTCCGCCTTCGATGATCTCAAAATTTCGAATTTTGCTACATTCGTTGATACCTATAGATATATCGTTTGCAAACTGTAATATCCTCTGATTCAACAAGATTGGCGGCTGGGGGCGGGCTGCTTGGCCTCTGCACCTCTTTCGTGAGCTTGATCCCTCATTACTTTCCCATCACGAGCGTGGGAAAGGCGGAGCTTCAATCACTAGAGAGCACGATCGGGAAAGAGGTGCAGAGCCAGGCGAGGAGGCCGCGAGTACGTGAGCCTGCCCACCAGCCGCCAATCCTGTTGAATCAGAGGGTACTTGCTAACATACCTTTCAAAGGAACCTCTGTCCTATGCACTACCACAGCTTCAATTCGCTGTAAGTTTTCTTGTGCATCAGTCAATATTGACTTAGTAGTGAACTTTTGCCACCTCTTGCTTTTATTCACTGAGTACGGAACATTCGGGGAAAAACTGCTGAGAATTTCGGAGAGCAGTTTCTTTTTGCATCGCTAAGTAATGCTACATTGGACATTGCCCAGCACAAGAGAGTCAATCATACCTTGCTTAGCATGTTCTCAGGGTCGTACAGCGTCTTGGTCACGAAGAAATTTTCTTTTTCCACGTTTCTTTGTTCCCTCCTTTTATGCAAATTGTCTCCGCGAGTGTCTTTTTGACATCTGCGAAAATCAATCTTTAAAAACCTTGGAAATTCCGCTGGATCTATATAAAAACATACAGAATGCCGTTTTCTTCACCACTGATGTACGACATTGTGGTTGCTCTGAGATGAAAAATGTTTATTTCTTCTCCTAAAATAGTTATGAGGAATGCTTGTTTCTTCTGATAGATGATGCGATGTTATCTGCACATTGAACAGCCCTAACCTCAGCAGATATCTGTAGCCGTAGACATCAACTAACACTGAGGGTAAACCCTACTCTTGAGGGTAACTTTTAGCTCAAGCCATTAACCCGCATTCACGAAGCAGTGTCCGAACAAATAGGAGGTTGGGACTTCAGTGTCATGCGAAACTGGACCCCCCCCCCCCCCCCGAAGCCATCGCGCAAGTGCGAGGCCATAATGTTTGACTCCATGCAAGAAAAGTGTATAAAAATTGAGATACTTCGCGGAGGAGGGCTTCTCCAATGTGGATTTCCTGCTCTGCGGCAGAGTACTATCGAATGATATCCTGGATCCCTATTGAAAATGTGGGCAGTATGACTTAACGCCGTAAGAAGGAGAGTGTCTCAAGACTTATGTTATATCTTGACATGTGGATCCGTAATGCTGCCATTCTCTGACATCAACTTTGCAGTATCTTAGGGAAAACATTTCATAGATAATGGTGCTTATTTCGAGATTGCAACAACAACCAAAAATGATCTACTGCATTGAGCTCATTGGTTTCAGATAGCTTTGAAATCAAAAAAAAACTTGCATCTTGCAAATCTGTTTGACTAAGTTTGCTTGGCAGTATTTGGAGGCAAATCATTTGAGATTTCCCCATAAAAGATGAATAAAGGAGCATACTTGAAAACAAAAAGGCGAAGATTTGATGTCAGCCAAGGTTCAAAGAAGGTACGTATTTAGGGACCATCTTTAGATCTTGCGAGATGCAAGTCCATGGTATTCTCGCTATTCAAAATTTCTCGTAGCCAGAGCGTCGAGCGACGTTCAAAGGTACTGCTACGAAGGAAAAGATAGCGGCAAATGCGATGCGAACACATGCTCTACATGATTTCTGATTCAACTAGAAGTCGAAGTCCATAGAAATTTTTGTACGAAAAAATGTATTTTTGCAAAACAGGTTACGATGGTGGTCTTAGAGTAAACAAGGGACGAGAAACTAAAGCTGTGGATACAAAGAGAGAGCATGTGAAGGTGACAGGCAATGATTCGTTTCGTTTTTCATTCACCTAGGAAAACAAGTCTTACGCAATGTTGTGCAATTGCGAGCGAACAAAGTGCATTCGGTAGTGACTCATTGGTTAGCAAATTCTTGCATTTGCAGAAAAACGCTGTTTGATCCCACAATCCACGACATAATACTGGGTTGGGATTGAAGAAGAAAATGTGTCGTTTTTCACGGCAAAGCAATATGACGAACGCGAAAAATGTATGAAGGGTCCAACCGATAGAGCGAAGCACTCAAGAACAACGAACCTTCACATAAGTAGCGATCAACGCAAGCATTGAAGTCAAATTCATAAAATCGCATCTTGTCCCAAGAAATTCTAAAAATTTCTTACTCTATTCTTCTGGCGTAACGCGTGCTCATCCATATACAGTGTATCCCATAAAAATGTGAACACTGTTTGATCGTTAATAACTCCCTTGCTTTCATGTCTTTCGCCGAGCTTGAGACACCATTCTGTAGAGCGATGTTCAGCTAGATCTACAGTGAAGCTAATCATCGATCGGTCTTCATTACTGTAGGATTACGGTAGGAACTTCTACAAGAATTTTGGGCCATTGGAGGCCATATTCTACCTCGGAACAAAACCAAACAAGCCAGAAACTTTGATACTATGGTACTGTAAGTCGCTGATTTCGAATATAAAATTTTCATTTTATTGTGATGCGCCTTTTCAAAGTAACCCCGGAAACGTAATAAGATTTCCCAGCATTTGTCAGAAATGTGATTGCACCATCAAAAGTTGTGTAATGGAAACAGCGTGCGTGAAATCTTGAACACGATTTTTCAGATTTTCTGACTAGAATTTTATCAGATGGCATATTCCACAATGGTTCCACAACAGTAGCGGTCGGTGATTCGCTCCACACTGTAAATCTAAGTTGAATTTCGCCCTGCAGAAGTGCCTCGTTCTCGGGCTTCGCTAGCCGCCCTATCGTAAGTTCCTCTCATTTATGCGATTGCACAAGAATTCGAACTCGAAGGATAAACCTTGTACCAATCTCTTAAAAAACATCAGATTTGGCCACAAGAAAAAACTAGACGAAAACATCCTTTTCCAACCTGATATCGATCCTGTTATCTGATCTTCCTCTTGTTCGGATGTTGCTCTGATCTTGCACAAGAGCAATGTGAAGTGTGTTCGCAGACAGCAACGCAATTTTTCGTAAGCATTTCGTTGAAGGGATTGCCCAGATTAATTGGGAGTGGTGGAATTTTGACGCAGTGCAGGAGCACGGCTCCTGACTGATGCAATAGTCCAAGTCCGATCGAAAAAGGTGAATTTTGAAGCGAGAAAATCACTTCGGAAAAAAGGGGTGGTAAGCAATCCCGCCTCCTTGAGGTGGCGGGATTGCGCACCGCCCCTTTTTGACGTGGCGAATGCTGTAGATCTAATGTGTATTAACCACGTCAAAACTTGTCAAGGGGGGGGGATTGGCTACCGCCCCTCTTTTCCGGAGCGATTTTCTCGCTTCAGAATTCACCTTTTTCGTTCGGACTTGGACTGTTGCATCAGTCAGGAGCCGTGCTCCAGCACTGCGTCAAAATCTCAAAATCCCACCACCCCCCCCCTGGACAATGCCTTTGAGCGTACAATCCGCACTGCAATCGCGAAGTAAAAAACTGAGAGCTGATCTTTACAAGCATTTCAAATCATCATTCCGCATTTGTTAATCCGGAAAAAATTCTTTTTGATTTCGCTACGATTGCTCGGGGCAACCATTTGGCATACTATATTGTGATTATTATGAAGGTTATACTGGTAAGAGGTTCATTCGCATTTTTTGCTTTATTTTTTTTCTCAGAATCTCGTAAAGCTTTCGAGAAAATGTTCGTAATGCGTTCCGAAGCTCCAAGTGTGCTTTACCAAATAGCTTGCATTATCTTCGTCAAAAATTCGGATTGAAAAATTGACTACAAACCAAAAATCTGAGGAAGCGAAGATTCCATTTTTGTCAACTATGTTATGCTACGTCTCGAATGGGTGTGAACGCTCAAGAAAGATCTCGAAGATTTTGCGACGTGTATACATAGAATGCTGTAGCTCCCGCTGACTACCCGTAAATGCTAAATTTCTCAAAGATTTAAACTGTAAGCACAAAGATAGGTCTGCTTTTTGATGTCTCTTCGGCGTCAACGTTAGGCATGTGAAGTCATCACGATGAAAGTATGATCACCGACCAATCCAGGAATGGCCAGATAAGGTGATTTGTGATCGCAAAATTGATATGAGTTACTCATTCCAAAATTCAGAATTTTGGGGACACAACTCAAGAACAGGAAACGACACAGTGGTATTCGCGAAAAAAGGCATCAAAAGGTCGATTGGAAGGAAGTAATCTAGCACGAATAGTGGCACTAATGGTATAAGTGACTAGTCCGTAGTTTTGTTTGTTAACAAGCTTTTGAGTAAATTTTATCGATGAACAAAGGGGAACCAAGAGAGGAAAAAGTTGTCGAAAATGGAATTTTCACCGTCTCGGATTTTTCAGTTTGCAGTCGAATCTTTTATTCAACTTCTCATGAATTTGGGAAATGGCGATGGTTTGGTGAAGTAGACTTAATGCTTCCAAAAGCATCAAAACATCTTGCCAAATGCTCTGCAAAATATTGAGAAAAACTGAAACAAAAGATGTTTCACCCGCCAGGATTCGAGGATGATGGATGTAAGGTAGCTGACTTGAATAAATGGGATTAAAATAATATGGAAACTTCTAGGGTTCTACACTGGCAAATTTTTTCTAAAACCTTGATTAACAAACGAACAGCTTCGATATCAACCTCCAGGTTCGACCTTCTATAAATCTTGGCATAATTTGAATAAAAAAAACGTTAGCCAAGTAGTAAATTGTCACCATACCAATCTTGGCCACCGTTCAACAACAAATCGAAAGCTTCGATATCGTTTCTACAGAGCTTGTAATAGGAGGAGGGCGGAGGGGGGGGGGGGCTCGTTACCTGCGATTGGAGTCAATTATACTTTGTAATTCAAGATTTTTCAGTGAATATTGGACGAATTTGAAATCTAAAAGCTTCAAATAAACAAATTCCGACTAAAGTTTGACAAAACAAAGTTGCAAACGATTTTGGATAATATTTGAAGACTGAAAATCTTGAATAAATGGCGCTATTTCCAAGTTCTAGACTAAATGCTGACGTGGAAACTTACACACTGGCAATGGACCAGCTTGATTAGCTCAACCTAGAGGATCAGGTAGAAGTTCAAAGATTTGGAAACAGTCTCTTCTTGATAATTTGTGGTTACATGTTCGGCCTTTGAAATGATACTCACTTGTTCTATTGCATTTTCTTATGATTTTACCCTAGAATTATTCCTGTCTACACTGCATAATACTTTTTCCAAAAATGAAGGTCCTCTTTCAAACGCATGGTTAAAAAGATTTGATATGTACCCTGATCGTCCCATTCAGCTTCGTTTCTAACTACACAGATTTGATCTATGACCTTACAAATGTCTTCAGTAATCATCTTGGTACTCATTACCAGACGAGTTCAAAACAATGCAGCGTTTTTTCTTTTTAATGCACAAATTCGCTTCAAGAAATAATGCTCTTTCACGTATTTTATAAGGCAATTTCTGGAAGAAATTTTCCAAACATTTGGCGCGAAAACTCATTGATCTTCTATCTGCACTTTGGACATTGCAACCAGTGCTGTTTCGGCGTGCAATTTTTTGGAAAAAAATTTTTAGGAACACTTTCTGTTTTATCTAATTCCTTCGACAAGACTCTCTTTGTAAGAATATATTTGAATAAGGTATCTTCATACTAATGATTGCAGCGTTATTCTTGCTTCTCATGATTTTTTTCTGACGAATTAAGAACTTTTGAAATAA